AGTGGTTAGATGAATACATCCAATGTCTTATCGTTCGCCGGCCTTAATGTGAAAGGGCTCGGAGATGCAACAAAGCAATCATGGGTCACCACCTAGGCAAGAAGTGCAGTAGACGTTACGATTTTCTCAGATACTAGGCTCTCTGAGAGTCACACCTACTGGAACTCCTTACCGAACGCCACTGTAGTCGCCACCTCAACAAGAGCCAGAGCGGGTGGAGTAGCAGTCATCTCATGGGATCCAGGCATTCAGCTGCAAAACACACTGGCACATCCCTCCTGTGGATTAGTTAAGACAGAAGTAGTAGGGAAAGGTCTTAGTATTACCCTTTTAGCGGCTTATTTCCCATCGTCTCCAGCGGCGCGCACCATCTTCATTAGGGATGTCGTAGGTCCAGTTGTAGATCAGGTAGCTCAAGGCAGTCACCTCCTACTAGTCGGTGACCTCAATATGGTGGAAGATCCATTTCTAGATAAGACGTCACGAGCGGGATCAGTAGCAGGCAACGGCAAGCTGGTCAGGAGATGCGGGAGTTTCCATATTTCAGATGCTTTCCGCACGTTATACCTTAACAGGAGAGAGTTTACCTTCATGTCGCAGGCGAAGAGGGCGAGCACGCGGATCGACTGGGCTCTGTTGTCGCAGTCCCTCCTCTCCAACCTGACGTCTGCAGATCATATCTCACCGGACGACCCCATTTCGGATCATGGCTTCACCATTCGGGTTGCCTTCCGCTGCAGCTCCAAGGCGAAGACGGGTCCCGGTGTATGGAGGTTCCCTGTACATCTGGTCAACAGGCCAGGGGTGCGGAAGGTGGTGGAAGCTGCAGTCAAGCAGTCAGGAGGGGATTATGCTCTGCTGCTGGCAAGGCTGAACGCTGGGCTCAAGGCATATGCAAAGGAGGAAAACAAGAGGGTTAAGGCAACCCTGCGTCATCTTTCGGGAGCAGTGGCGAGATTGAAGCAGGAGGTGATGGGTGCGCCTGACTGCCCGCGCCTACGGGAGCTTCTGGGAGTTCGAGAACTTCAACTGAAGGAGTATCAGGCTTCCCGTCGCGACAGGCTGCATCTGATGGCGGGTTTTGACGCGGAACTAAAGGGGTAGATCGCCTCGAAGCATCTGTTGGGGAAGGTGAAAGCTCGGAAGCAACGCACGCAAATCGCAGAGTTAAATGTCAACGGCAAGGTGGTCAGTGACATACAGGATATTCTGCAGGCAGTCGGGGAGTATTTTAATGAGATTTTTGGTGCAGACAAAAGGACTCACCGATCAAATTGGAAGCCGGAGCGGAGGTTATCGGCTGGAGAGGCGGACGGGCTGGTAAAGCGCTGGACGGAGGAGGAGGTCCGCCATGCTTTCAAGATGCTAGCGTGCAGGAAGTCGCCGGGCCTGGACGGGATTCCGAAAGAGCTGTTTGAGCTCCACTGGGACATTCTCGGTAAAGGCTTCATGGAGCTTGCTCACGAATTCGAGGTGTCGGCTTCGCTTCCTGCAAGCACCAAGGAGGCAGTGACAATTTTATTACATAAAAAGGGGGAGAAATGTCAGCTGAACAACTACCGTCCGATTACGCTGTTGAACTTCACCTACAAAGTGCTGGCGCGTGTAGTTGCGGAGAGAATGAAGGCGGTCCTCCACCGGGTAATCTCAAAGGAGCAGTACGGCTTCATACCAGGTCGGCGCCTCTTCGATGCTGTCAGCCTGGTCGCGGATGTTATTGATGCCGCGAATAAGGGAGACAAAGACTGGTTCCTCCTACTGGTGGACTTCAAGAAAGCCTTCGACACGGTCTCGCGAGGCTTCTTCTTTGAGACGCTGGAGAAGATGGGATTGTCAGGCATATATGCTATAGTCTGTGTAGGCTGTAGTGGGGTAGTTCATATAGGGTACAACACTTTAGGGTTTACTACTTGTACTCCTCATTCTGCTCAATGCATTCATTCCTCGTTTCTTATCATGGTATCGAGCAGGTTCTGAGAATTGAAACAAGAATGAGTGCACTAAGGAATGGAAAGTGGTACAAATATGCAACCCTAGAAATGTGTACCCCATATAGGCTACCCCACTACAGCCTACAGAACATTATGATTTGACACACCCCCATAGGCAAAGTGGGGAAGAACAAGGGGTCACAAGACCAGTCAAGCACAACAAAGCAAAGCTCAGGGTGGATCACAAAGTCACCACACATTCCGAGCACAAGTTCAAGGCCAGAAGGCCAGTTCACATGCAGGAGCACACATATATATATAAAAGGTAAACAAACAAGTGCAGGAGTATATATATGTGACAGTACAAGCAAGGTCAAGAAGTGAGCAAGCGAGGCAAGGCAGGCACAAGACCAAGCTGAGTACAGAAGCGCTGATGATCACAAGGCGCAAGTGCCTTAGTGAAGATATCAGCAGTGTCGGCCTGAGAGGCCACGTACGCAAGTCGCAACTGACCACGCTGCTGCAGCTCACAAGCAAGAAAGTAGCGGAGAGCAATGTGCTTCGTTCTGTGCTCCAGGCGCTGCTCCCGACACAAGGCCAGCATGGCATTGTTGTCTACGTACAGCACTGGAGGAGAATGAGGCGGCTCTCCGAGGTCAGTCAGCAGGTAGGTGAGCCAGCGAAGCTCCTGAGCAGCCATGGCTCCTGCGTAGATCTCAGCCTCACAACTGGAGCCGAGAACGGAAGACGAGCGAGTAGCCCTCCACGAAACAGAGCCGGAACCAAGGCTGAAGGTGTAACCCTGTGACGACCGCTGTGTAGCCTGGTCGTCAGCCCAAGAAGCGTCTGCGTTCCCAGTGAGGACCACTGGACTCTGCCCTCCAAGCACTAGCCCCATGCCCGACGTACTGCACAAGTAGCGCAACACCCTCTTTGCTGCAGCCATGTGCTCCGGTCTGTGTCTCCCAGGAGCAACATAGCGTGCAAGAATGCTAAGAGGGTATGCAAGGTCAGGTCGTGTGCAGGTCATCAGGTACATGAGGCAGCCAACAAGCTCTGGGTACAGGCCACTCGACTCTACGGACTCATCCGAAGGCAGAGCTGAGAGCGAGTGGCGAGTAGGCAGAGGAGTGGCCTGAGGCGAGGAGTACGTGAAGCCGAAGCGCTGAAGGACCTGCTGCACCATGTGTGACTGAGTCAGGGTAATGGTGCGGCGTGCTCTGTACCCGGGTGATCTGCAAGCCAAGGTAGTTGCGCAGTTCACCCAGGTCTGTGCCCGTGTGTCTCTTCTGCAGCTCGGACTTCACGTGGGCGAGTCCAGCAGTGTCAGCAGTGGCAAAGACCAAGTCGTCGACGTACACGAGGATGTAGAACGGCGGCAAAGAAGTGTCGGTGCGCAGAAACAGCGACGGGTCGGCAGTAGAGGGAGCAAACCCAAGAGCCGCAAGCGTAGTCCTCAGTGTGTCGTGCCACTCACGCGGTGCCTGGCAGAGACCGTAGACTGGCCGCCGGAGGCTCCACTGGGTGCCTGGAGGAAAAGTCCTAGTGAAGCCAGGTGGGCGGCGCAGCCAGATCTCCTCGTGCAGGCTACCCTGCAAGCAAGTAGTGCTGAAGTCAAGAGAGTGAAGCTCGTAGTCGCGCTGAGCGGCTATGTGCAGCAGCACCCGAAGAGTGGTCATCTTTGGGGTGGGAGAGAAGGTCTGAAAGTAGTCAACTCCCTGCCGCTAACTGAAGCCACGAGCCACGTACCGCGCCTTGAAGACAGGTGGAGAACCTGGCGGCCGCTTCACCCTGAAGATCCACATGCCACTGACTATGTTCGCCCCAGGTGGGGGAACCGCAGTCAACGTAGGTGCCTGTGGACTTCCAGGAAGCCATCTCTGCATCCATAGCTGCCTGCCACTGAGAGGAGTAGGGACCCTCTATCGCCTCCGCGTAAGAGCGCGGAGTCGGGATGTCAAGGGCATCCGGGTCTCCCTCAGGGGTAAGCAGTCAGACAGGAGATGAGGTGAAGCAGCAGCCAGACACTGGAACTCCTCCTGACTGTCCTCAAGGACGTCCGTGCCAAGGGCACACTCACCCCCGACGGACGGAGGACAGACAGACTCAGACTCAGCGACAAGACTAGCAGCGTAGTCTAGACGATAGCGAGCAGCAAAAACGACGAGCTCAGCAACTAGGGCAGACGCAGCAGTGGACTCAAAAGAAGGGTCAGTGACGACAGTAGCAAGGAGACGCGTGACAGTAGGACTGGCAGCACGAAGAGAGTCCGACTCCGGGTCGGCAATAGCAGGAAGAGAAGACTCAGGAGGAGAAGGCAAAGGGGCACGCAGAGGAGCAGTGGACAGACGCAGAGACATCCGGTGCGTGCCAGGGACAGGAGGAGGACGCTGACGCGAACTGCGACCACTAATGCGAGCAGCATGGACAGGCGACGCAGGGCGAGACGCAGGCTCACGACGCTCAGCAAGACCTCCAGTAGGACCAGTGTAGGGAGACGGAGCAGGCAGTGGGGAGGCCGGCTGTAACTGTAACTGCGACGGGACAGGCTGTGGACACTCTAAGGGAGGAGGAGGACAAGTAGAAGACGGGAGACCAAGAACCTGCTGAAGGAGCGGAACGAAGTACGGCCGAGGCCGCGCGGCGACTCCAGACACAGCAAGGACAGCACCAGCACCCCCAGTAGCAGCACCAGCACCAGTAGCAGCTCTAGCTCCAGTACCTCCAGCAGCACCAGTAGTACCCCCAGCAGGACCGCCTCCAGGACCGACAGCAGGAGCCTCCGCGCCAACACCCGCAGCAGCTCCAGCTCCAGAAGTACCCGCAGGCCCAGCAGCTCCAGTACTCCCAGTACGAGCACCTCCGAGACCCGTGGCACCAGCTCCCTCAGCAGCAACAGAACCTCCAGCACCCGCAGCACCTCCAGCTCCAGCAGCTCGCCTCCAGCGCCGGGCAAACCACTCACGCAGCTCCTGTGGAGAGAGTGTCTCTCGGCACGACGAAGCACCCGGAGAACCGCCAGGCACAGCACAAGCAGGCCCAGCTCCCTCAGGCTCCGCACCCCCAGGCTCAGTACCTCCATGCGTAGCACCCCCACGCTCAGCACCCCCAGGCTCAGCACTCCCAGGCGTAGCTCCCCCAGGCTCAGCACCCCCAGACTCAGCACCCCCAGTAGTAGCACCCTCAGGCTCAGCACCCCCAGGCGTAGCACCCACACGCTCAGCACCCCCAGAGTCAGCACCCCCAGGCTCAGCACCCTCAGCAGCACCAGAGTCACCAGTAACCTCGACAGGCTCGACTGCGTCTACCTGGGACACACCTGAAGGGGCAGGACCCTGAGGGGGGAGGGGGTCTACCGGGGGGGGACCTGGCACAAGGAAGAGCGGTGGCGGGGGGAGGGACGGAGTGCGGTAGGGGAAGAGGCGGTAGTAGGGGACCGACTCGTCAAACGTGACGTCCTCGGAGGACAGAACACTGACGAGAGGTGGGGTGGTAGAACTGCCACCCTGGCGCGTCAGGGGGGAAGCCAAGGAAGACGCAAGGAGCAGCACGAGGGGACAGCTTGTCCGCAGACAAGTCGCGGACAAACGCCCGAGATCCCCAGACATGGAACGCAGACGCATCGCCAACCTTCCCCGTCCACAGCAAAGCTGGGGAGGTCTCCGGCATGGAGACCCTGGGGTGAAGGTTGATCTGATGCGCCACGTACCTCACCGCAAACGGCCACAGAAAATGGGGGGCAGCCGCATGCATCATGGACGTACGAGCGACGTCCATGACCATGCCAATGCGGCGCTCAGCAGTCCCATTTTGCTTTGGAGAGTCCGGAAGCGTAAAGGTCTGGCGGATGCCTCGCACACGACAGTAGGCTCGCAGAAGGCCAGAGGAGAACTCTCCGCCTCGGTTAGAGTGCAGACGCAGAACAGGAAAGTCCGAGCCGAAGCTCCTCCTGAGCTGGAGACGAGCTGCGCGGATCCAGTCGATCAACACCTCAGTGACATCACCCTTGCTGCGCAAGGGGAAGATTGTGGTGTAACGCGAGTAGTCGTCAACCACCAACAGGAAGTAGAGCTCGTGACCCTGTCCACGGACGCGGGCCGGGCCCCACACGTCCATGTGAAGCGTCTGCAGCGGGGCCTCTGTCGGGGGAAACTGAGAGGAGTGAGGGGCAGCCCGCAGCCGCCCCTCGACACAGGGGACGCAGGTGGGGCCAGGCCCCGGAGGAAGGGGAGGGAGGGACCGGGGAAGACCAGAGACAAGGACACGGGAGGCCATGCCTCGGAGACGAGGCAGGGAGGGGTGACCAAGGCGGTGGTGCCAGAGGAGAGTCTCGTGAGACAGGAGGCGACACGAGCAGGGGGCAGACTCAGGACCAGACCTGGACGCTGCAGCAACCACCTGACCCGACGCAGCTACCTGACCAGACGCAGGGACAGGAGGAGACTCAGTGGTCAGGGTGTACAGGCTCGACCCCGGCCGACGAGTAAACGTGGCCAGGTGCCGGCCTGTGCGAGCGTCCGAGCAGTGAGTCACCCGCTGACTCGCAGGAGTAAACTGGTGAACCCCCGCATCCTGTAGGTCAGCACCACTCACCAAGTTTGTAGAGAACGAGGGGAGGTAAAGACCAGACAAGGTGCCAGAGGGGGCCGCCGGACATGGGAGGACAGTGGAGAAGTGAGAAAGGACAGGACCCCCAGAGGGGCCTGCCAGGGAGACTGCAACCGGCCGACCAAGCGGCGTGAGTGTGGTGCGGTCTCGAAAGAAGGAGCAAGAAGCCCCTTGAGTCAAGTGTGAAGGTGAGGGAGGCCGAAGCCGACGCGGTACCTGCGAGCGCAGACTCACCAGCACCTGAGGACGCTGACGCACTGGCACCTAGAGCAGCAGCCTCACTAGCACATAGAGAACCAGCCTCACCAGTACATAGAGCAGCAGTCTCAATGTCCGGGTCGGGCGAGAAACACCGGTAACAGCCACCCTCATCACTAATAGACACAGCATACATGGCAGAAAGGATAGCATCAAAATCAAGATCATAGATGGCAACTCCCGCCCTAGACAGCTCGCCCCAGCGAGGGATCTCTGTGGCCTCCGGGAACTGGTGACGCCACGCGTCCGTCAGGCGGCCAAAGCAGCGCTGGGTGGGGTGCGCACCCCCACACTGCTCACCCGCACAGTCGCCGGTGCCCAGGACGTAGGTGCACGGACCAAAGCCCCCACCCCGATGGCGTGCAGTGTACCACTCACGGAGCTGCTGAGGAGACAAGGTCTCACGACCGCGCTGCTGCTGCTGGCGCGGACCACCACCGGAGCCACTCCTCTGCGTAGACCCGCGACCAGCTCCACCGCCACCCCCGCCGCCTCCGCCGCCTCCGCCGCCTCCGCTACTACCGCCGCCTCCGCCTCCTCCTCCACCGCCACCACCTCCGCCACCTCCGCTCCCACCTGCCAACGCCGCCGCCGCCTCCGCCTCCACTGCCGCCACCGACACCTCCACCCCCACCTCCACTCCCACCGCCACCCCCACTCCCCCCGCCGCCTCCACCTCCACCTCCACCGCCCCCGCTCGCTCCTCCAGTGCCCCTGCCCCCCTTGCCTCTGCCAGAGCGGCGTCTCCCGCTAGGGGCAGACGCCGCACCGACCGACTCAAGACCAAGGAGGTCGGCCGCAGCAGCAGAGGCAACAGAGGGCAGAAGGGGGGAGGGGGAACACCCCTCAAAGATGGGGGTGCGCGGGTCACCACGAGAGGCCCCTACAGCGACAATGCTCTTCTCGGCCGCTAGGAGGGACTTCTCGAGGAGGTCAACAGTGAGAGTGGTGGGACAGACTGAGAGGAAGTGGTCCCTGACTACGCGAAGGGAGTCAGGGAGGCGAGTGACTATGTAGTAGAGAGTGATGTACATGGGGGGGGGGTTCTTGGCGCAGAAGTCAGCAGGAAGCGCAGCGCGGTAGCGAGTGTCACTAGTGCGTCGGTGCGTAATGAGGTCAGCGACTGTGGGAAAGGCAGCAAGGTCAGGGAAGAGGTACGGTAGCATGAGACGGCTCAGCGCAGCAGTGGCAGGGGAGGAGTAGTGTGCAACTACAGCGTCGTAATGGGTCTGAGCACTCTTGTACTGACTAAAGTGCGCACGCTCAGAGGTAGGGAGGTGGCGACGCACAGCAAGACGTGCAGCAGCATCGCGCGTGGCCCACTGTGAGCGAACAGTGGCGTCAGCATCAGCAGCAGGAGCAGGAGAGGCACCAGAGGTGAGGTCAAAGAGGGAGAGACCGTCTGCCCTATCGCACTGTAAGAACAGCTTGCAGGTCATCTACCCAGACGTCAAAGTCAATGGCTCGACCCTCGGCGTCAAAAGCGAGGACACTAGGGGTAGCCATGACAACAGTAGACTAGCAGCGCTGACTGTAGAGCAGGGGCAGTGCAGTGACAAAGGCGCTGCGCTCACCAGACAGGGCGGTCCGGGCAGCTCGGGCGGCTCGGCAGCAACTGCGGCTCGGCGGCACCCGCGGCTCGGCTCCTCAGCTGCTCAGGCGGCTCGGGCGGCTCGGGCGGCTCGGGCGGCTCGGGCGGCTCGGGCGGCTCGGGCGGCTCGGGTGGCTCGGGCGGCTCGGGCGGCTCGGGCGGAACGGGCGGCTCGGGCTGCTGAGCGGCGCGGGCGGCTCGGCTGCGTAGGCGGTTCGGGCGGGGCCGTAGGTAGGGCGACGGGGCCGGGTCGAAGGTAGGGCGACGGGGCCGGTGCGCATGTAGGGCGACGGGGCCGGGGCCGGGGCGCAGGTAGGGCGACGGGGCCGGGTCGAAGGTAGGGCGACGGGGCCGGGGCCGGGCCGTAGGTAGGGTGACGGGGCCGGGGCCGGGCTGTAGGTAGGGCGACGGGGCCGGGTCGAAGGTAGGGCGACGGGGCCGGGCCGTAGGCAGGGCGACGGAGCCGGGGTCGGGCCGTAGGTAGGGCGACGGGGCCGGGTCTACGGTAGGGCGACGGGGCCGGTGCGCAGGTAGGGCGACGGGGCCGGGGCCGGGGCGCAGGTAGGGCGACGGGGCTAGGGCCGGGGCCGCAGGTATGGCGACGGGGCCAGGGTCGCAAGGGGGGGGGGGGCGACGGGGCCGGGGTCGCAGGTAGGGCGACGGGGCCGGGGCGCAGGTAGGGCGACGGGGCCGAGGCGCAGGTAGGGCGACGGGGCCGGGGCGCAGGTAGGGCGACGGGGCCGAGGCGCAGGTAGGGCGACGGGGCCGGGGTCGTAGGTAGGGCGACGGGGTCGCTAGGGCGACGAATCAGGGGCCGCTAAGGCGGCGCGACTTGGCCGCTAGGGCGGCTCGACGAAGTCAGAGAAGGGAGCGCGACTCGGGCAGAGCGCGCTCCGGGCAGAAAAAAAAACTTTCGACTTGGTGGGCCCTAGGCACAGTTCCCACGAGGGAACCTGCTCGATACCATGTGAGAATTGAAACGAGAATAAGTGCACTAAGGAATGGAAAGTGGTACAAATATGCAACCCTAGACATGTGTACCCCATATAGGCTACCCCACTACAGCCGACAGAACATTATGATTTGACACAGGTTCCCTAGTGGGAACGCTACCTAGGGCCCACCACGATATTTTTTTTTCCTGCCCGGAGCGCGCTTCGCTCCTGCCCGAGTCGCGCTCTGTGTGCCCTCCCTACCTTCGCGCCGCCTTTAGCGGCCCCTCTCACGGCCCCTTACGCCGCCCTTACGGCCCCTAGCGCCGCCCTCTACGGCCCCTCGCGCTGCCCTTACGGCCCCTTACGGCCCCTTACGGCCCCTCACGCCGCCCTTACGGCCCTCGCGCGGCCCCTTTCGGCCCCTCGCAGCGCCCTTTACGGCCCCTTACGGCCTCGTCGCCGCCCCGTCTAGGCCCCTTGCGGCCCCTCTGCGGCCCCGTCTAGGCCCCTTGCGGCCCCTCTGCGGCCCCGTCTAGGCCCCTTGCGGCCCCTGTGCGGCCCCGTCGCCGCCACCTGCGGCCCCGTCGCCGCCACCTGCGGCCCCGTCGCCGTCACCTGCGGCCCCGTCGCCGCCACCTGCGGCCCCGCCGCCGCCACCTGCGGCCCCGCCGCCGCCACCTGCGGCCCCGTCGCCGCCACCTGCGGCCCCGTCGCCCTCACCTGCGGCCCCGTCGCCCTCCCCTACAGTCACCGCCCTTTGCGACCGCCTCGCCGCCCTTAGCGGCCCCGTCACCTCCCCCAGCGGCCACGTCGCCGCCTCTACCGGCCCCGTCACCGCTCCGCCGCCCAGCGACCGAACCGCCGAGCCGCACAGCAGCCGAGTCGCCGACCAGCCGGGCCGCCGAGCCGCCCAGCAGCCGAGCCGCCCAACATCCGAGTCGCCGAGCAGCCGAGCCGCCCACCAGCCGAGCCACTGAGCCGCCCAGCAGCCGAGCCACCAAGCACGCGAGCCGCCCAGCAGCCGAGGCGCCAAGCCGCCGAGCCGCCCTACTGTCAAGCCGCTGCTGTTCCTACCGGTGCGCCCCGGCCCTACTTCCTCGGACTGGTGAGATCACTCCCTATTAGGCCACTGCAGTCATGGCTACCCCTAGTGTCCTTACTTTTGATGCTGAGGGCCGTGCCGTTGACTTTGAGGTCTGGGTCGATGACCTCCAGCTGTTTCTCCAGTGCGATAGGGCAGACGGACTCTCTCTGTTCGATCTCACCTCTGGTGTCTCTCCCGCCCCGCCTGCTACTGCTGACAGCACTGTTCACTCACAGTGGGCCACACGCGATGCTGCTGCTCGCCTTGCTGTGCGTCGCCACTTACCGACCGCTGAGCGTGCGCACTTTAGCCAGTGCAAGAGTGCTAAGACCTTGTACGACGCTGTAGTTGCACGCTACTCCTCCCCTGCCACTGCTGCTCTTAGCCGCCTCATGCTGCCGTACCTGTTCCCTGACCTTGCTGCCTTTCCCACAGTCGCTGACCTCATTACTCACCTTCGCACTAGTGACATTCGCTACCGCGCTGCGCTTCCTGCTGAGTTCTGTGCCAAGAACCCCCCCCCCCCATGTACATCACCCTCTACTACGTAGTCACCCGCCTCCCTGACTCCCTTCGCTTAGTCAGGGACCACTTCCTCTCAGTTTGCCCCACCACTCTCACCGTCGATCTCCTCGAGGAGCGCCTCCTAGAAGCAGAGAAGAGCATAGTCGCTGTAGGAGCCTCTCGTGGTGACCCTCGCACCCCCGTCTTTGAGGGGTGTTCCCCCTCCCCCCTCTTGCCCTCTGTTGCTTCTGCTGCTGCGGCCGACCTCGTTGGTTTCGAGTCGGTTGGCGCTGCGTCTGCCCCGCGCGGGAGACTGCCACACCGGGAAGGGCAAGGGGGGCAAGGGCGCTGGAGGGGCTGGCGGGGGCGGTGGAGGTGGTGGTGGAGGCAGTGGAGGGGGTGGGGGTGGTGGTGGGAGTGGTGGCAGGGGTGGAGGTGTCGGTGGCGGCAGTGGAGGCGGAGGAGGCGGCGGCGGTGGCGGAGGGAGCGGAGGCGGCGGAGGTGGTGGAGGCGGCGGAGGCGGCGGAGGTGGCGGAGGCGGCGGCGGCAGTAGTGGACCTGGTCGCGGCTCTGCGCAGAGGAGTGGCTCCGGTGGTGGTACGCGCCAGCAGCAGTAGCGCAGTCGTGAGACCCTGTCCCCTCAGCAGCTTCGTGAGTGGTACGCTGCGTGTCAGCGCGGTGGGGGTACAGGTCCCTGCACCAACGTTCTCCGCACCGGCGACCGCGCTGGTGAGCAGTGTGGGGGCCCGCACTCCACCCAGCGCTGTTTCGGCCGCCTGACGGACGCGTGGCGTCACCAGTTCCCTGAGGCCTCTGAGATCCCTCGCGGGGGAGAGCTGTCTAGGGCGGGGGTTGCTATCTTTGATCTTGATTTTGATGCTATTCTTGCTGCCATGTATGCTGTGTCTGATAGTGTTGAGGGTGACTGTTACCTGTGTGTTCCGCCTGACCCGGGCATTGAGACTGCTGCTTTAGGTACTGGTGAGGCTGCTGCTCTAGGTGCTAGTGCGTCTGCTGCCCTTGGTGCTGGTGAATCTGCTCTCTCGGGTACTACGTCAGCTCAGGCCTTACACACCTTCACCCTTGACTCGGGTGCTTCCCGCTCCTTCTTTCGAGACCGCACCACACTTATGCCGCTCAGTCGGCCGGTTGCAGTCTCCCTGGCGGACCCCTCTGGGGGCCCTGTCCTTGCTCGCTTCTCCACTGTCTTACCGTGTCCGGCAGCCCCCTCTGGCACCCTGTCAGGTCTCTACCTCCCCTCGTTCTATACGAACTTGGTGAGTGGAGCTGATCTACAGGATAGGGGGGTTGAGCAGTTCACTCCTGCGAGTCAGCGGGTGACCCACTACACGTGTGCTCGGACAGGCCGACACTTGGCCACGTTCACCCGTCGGCTGGGGTCGAGCCTGTACACCCTCACTACTGAGTCTCCTCCGGCTGCTGAGTCTGCTCAGGTAGCTGCGTCGAGTTAGGTGTTTGCTGCAGCGTTTAGGTCTAGTCCTGAGTCTGCTCCCTGCTCGTGTCGTCTCCTGTCTCACCAGACTCTCCTTTGGCACCACCGCCTTGGTCACCCCTCCCTGCCTCGTCTTCGAGGCATGGCCTCCCGTGTCCTTGTCTCTGGTCTCCCCCGGTCTCTCCCTCCCCTACCTCCGGGGCCTGCCCCTACCTGCGTCCCCTGCGTCGAGGGGTGACAGCGCGCCGCCCCTCACTCCTCCGAGATTCCTCCGACAGAGGCTCCGTTGCAAACTCTTCACATGGACGTGTGGGGCCCCGCCCGCGTCCGTGGCCAGGGGCACGAGCGTTACTTCCTGTTGGTGGTTAACGACTACTCGTGTTACACCACGGTCTTCCCCTTGCGCAGCAAGGGCGACGTCACTGAGGTGTTGATCGACTGGATCCGCGCACCTCGTCTCCAGCTCAGAGAGAGTTTCGGCTCGGACTTTCTTGTTCTGCGTCTGCACTCGGACAGAGGCGGGGAGTTTTCCTCTGCCCGTCTGGGAGCCTTCTGTCGAGCACAGGGCATCCGCCAGACCTTCACGCTTCCGGCCTCTCCACAGCAAAATGGGATTGCTGAGCGCCGCATTGGCATGGTCATGGACGTCGCTCGTACGTCCATGATCCATGCGGCTGCCCCCCTTTTTCTGTGGCCGTTTGCGGTTCAGTAAGCGGCGCATTAACTCAACCTTCAGCCCCGGGTCTCCTTACCAGAGACCTCCCCCACCCTGCGCTGGACGGGGAAGGTTGCGATGCGTCTGCGTTTCGGGTCTGGGGATCTCAGGCATTTGTCAGCGACTTGTCTGCGGACAAGCTGCCCCCCGTGCTGTT